CTTGCGGGGCGGTTGCCTTACCTCGAGCCGGCTTTTCACCTCCCGCCTGGGCGCAGACGGGGCCGCTTCCACCACAGGACGGCTGGCTGGCGACGGACTTCTCTCTCGCCCCCGCTCTCTCTCTCTCCTCGGCTCTTATTTAAGCACACGGGAAGCGCACGCACGCCCTCGCCACCGCCACCGCCACCGCCACCCCAACACACACACACACCACACACCCCGAGGCGCTCTCTGCGGCGAGGCGCCTCTAGATGGCAGCCCGGCCAGCCGGCTCCGCCTGCCCGAAGACTCCCACCGCCGGGAGATGTGGGCGGCGCGGAAGGAGGGAGGGGGGGAGCGGTGGAGACGGGAAAATCCAGCTAGCGCCGGGGAGGAACCTTTTCCTGCCTGCTTCAATCCGCGTAAGCACATCCCTCGGAAATCGGCGTCTTTTCCTTTCGCAGAGGACAAACGCAAATGCTCGACATCTGGGACGAGGTCACCTGCATCCTGCGCGCACGCCGCCTTCGCCCTTTCGGTTTCCCCCTCCCACACGCGGAGGGCGCCCCGGGTGACCGCGGGGTCTTCGCGCGCCTGCACGCGCGTCAGGACGGGCGCTCCTCCCTGAGGAGAAGTTCGCACGGAGAGGGGCGTCGCCTGGCGAAGGAAGCCCGCACCCGGGAGTGCCCTCCTCTCTGGTGGTTAAACAGAGAGGCTGGGAAGGGTGGCGGTCTTCCTTCCACCCGCCCCTCTTCAGTTCACACGAGTCCAGCTGGAGAGACGAAGGCAAGCCGGCAATTAAAGGGGATCTGTAGCGAGGGAGACGTGTCTTCTCTCATGTTTAAGTTGTTGGGCTCTTAGTAAAATGTTCGACTCCCCGTTTCTGATCTGGCGGGCAGGAGGTGGGCCAGGTGGAGTCAGAGTTCAGGCTCTTTCAAGGTCTATTTGACCACTCAGGAGAAATGCCATTTACACTTACACTCCTAGCTCATTTATCGAGAAGGAGGTTTCATTGAAGTCCTCAGCGGGACCTATTTTGCAGTCAACAAATTTGTTAAGTAAGGATCGCACTGTTAAGAGCTGTTGTTAACACGTACCTGGAAGAAAGTTCCATTAAAATGTATATGTTCAATTTAAGCATAAACATGACAGCGAAGCTGTTAAAATGCACTTCCTTACCAGTTTATTGACAGCAGCCACAAAATTAAAAGACGCCTGCTTCTTGGGAGAAACGCTATGACAAACCTAGACAGCATCTTAGAAAGTGAAAGCAGGACCATAAAGAAGGCTGACCACTGAAGAATTGATGCTTTTGAATTTTGGTGCTGGAGAAGACTCTTGAGAGTCCCCTACCACTGCTAAGAGAACAAGCTTGTCCATTCTGAAGGAAATAAACCCTGAGTACTCACCAGAAGGACAGATCCTGAAGCTGAGGCTCCAGTGCTTTGGCCATCTCATGAGAAGAGAAGACTCCCTGGAAAAGACCCTGAGGTTGGGAAAATGTAAGGGCAAGAGGGGAAGGGGACGACAGAGGACACGATGGTTGGATAGTGTCATCGAAGCAACAAACATGAATTTGACCCAACTCTGGAGGTCGTGGAAGACAGGAGGGCGTGGTGTGCTGTGGTCCACGGGGTCACAAAGAGTTGGACACGACTTAATAACAACAACCAGTTCATTAGTACTTAACAATTGGATAACACAGGACCTTGCGACTCTGTGATCTTTACAACAGTCTCCACAGACTGGTTTTCCTTGTAATTCAAACAGTACAGGTGAAGGTCTGAGATGTGTACAGCCACATGCCAGAAGTGAGTTCCTAGCAAAAGGGTGGGTGGGATCTGAAATCTACACCAGCTATGATGAGACAAGAATACATGGCTTGTGTGTTTCCAAAAGATCATGGAAGAAGAGCTAAATCAGATTGGGACCATGATGTTTGGTGAAAGAGTAAATCTTTCAGTTACTTTGTTTTCCTAGACCACACAGTCTCACCACAGGTTATGTTATATGAGTGTTTGTAAATACCTGGCAAATAGGTTTGGGGTGGGGTTAAACCAATACACTTGTGCAGGGGAAAGCGTTAATTTGCTACCTCCACCACCGGGGCACTGATCCACAGCTGCTTTGATCCTTCCAACTAAAAACAATGCAGGAAAGTTTGTCAGAGGTCTTTCACTGATTAGCTCCTAAACCTTATCAGTTCTCAAAATTTGTCAAAGGATGGAAAGAAAGCTCAATGGAATCTACTCAGGAAAATTTAATTAGCCATATGATATGGCAAGTCTCTTACCTAATACGACCTGCCAAATGTTGCAGTGTGTGGGCTGCTCTTCCTACACTACAACTACCCTTCCCTCCATTACCCAATATTCAGTTTTTCCCCAATAGTTGCTGAGCATACTCAGCTTTTCTTAGGCTACTGGCAGCTCCCTTCCCTATAGAAATGTTCTTTCCCTAAAAAGGAAAAAAAATTCATATAGTTCCTCTTATGCACAGATTGTGCTCTGTTATCTTTTTAAGGGCTGACATTTGCAGTACTGACAATTCTCTTTGGGGGGGGGTTGCCCAGTCAAAACACAAAACACTTTCAGCTGTGAAAGAGGTTAAACAGGCTATGATTCTGTATGTGAAACTAGGGACATATCCCCAAATGCCATACCAACCTTCCCTAGATCGTCATCATGGTGAAGGGCAGAAATGACACCTAGAGTGGTCGCAGTGACCAGGTAGGTGGGGTATAAATAAATAAATAAATAAATAAATAAATAAATAAAATAAATAAATAAATAAATAAATAAAACAAACAAACAAACAAACAAACAAACAAACAAACAAACAAACAAACAAACAAACAAAATGAATATACTGTCATCACCTCCACTCTCTTAAGCAACCTTCTGCCAAAAGTACTGCTCACCTGAACTTCAGGAGATTTATTTTTGTATTATTTCTATTTTTCACACACAGTTTTATTCATAAGGTGAAAAGAACTTGCACTAAGTTCTAAGCTGCAGAGCCAGAGGTTGGGAGCTCAGGACTCCCCTCTGCCTCCAGAAGAGGCAGCCTGTGTGGCCTTGGGCAAGCTTCATGGTCCCAGGATGCCCACAAAAGTAGGGAATGGTAAACCACTTCTCAATGATCTCTGCCTAGAAAACCTGGGAAAGGAACTGATTTGATGGCTTCTTCTTCTTCTTCTTCTTCTTCTTCTTCTTCTTCTTCTTCTTCTTATTCTTCTTCTTATTCTTATTCTTATTCTTATTCTTATTCTTATTCTTATTCTTATTCTTATTCTTATTCTTATTCTTATTCTTATTCTTATTCTTATTCTTATTCTTATTCTTATTCTTATTCTTATTCTTATTCTTATTCTTATTCTTATTCTTATTCTTATTCTTATTCTTATTCTTATTCTTATTCTTATTCTTATTCTTATTCTTATTCTTATTCTTATTCTTATTCTTATTCTTATTCTTATTCTTATTCTTATTCTTATTCTTATTCTTATTCTTATTCTTATTCTTATTCTTATTCTTATTCTTATTCTTATTCTTATTCTTATTCTTATTCTTATTCTTATTCTTATTCTTATTCTTATTCTTATTCTTATTCTTATTCTTATTCTTATTCTTATTCTTATTCTTATTCTTATTCTTATTCTTATTCTTATTCTTATTCTTATTCTTATTCTTATTCTTATTCTTATTCTTATTCTTATTCTTATTCTTATTCTTATTCTTATTCTTATTCTTATTCTTATTCTTATTCTTATTCTTATTCTTATTCTTATTCTTATTCTTATTCTTATTCTTATTCTTATTCTTATTCTTATTCTTATTCTTATTCTTATTCTTATTCTTATTCTTATTCTTATTCTTATTCTTATTCTTATTCTTATTCTTATTCTTATTCTTATTCTTATTCTTATTCTTATTCTTATTCTTATTCTTATTCTTATTCTTATTCTTATTCTTATTCTTATTCTTATTCTTCTTCTTATTCTTATTCTTATTCTTATTCTTATTCTTATTCTTATTCTTATTCTTATTCTTATTCTTATTCTTATTATTATTATTATTATTATAGTAGCTAATACAGCTTTTAATGGATGACATTCTCAGTAGCCAGTAGCATAAAATTCAAAGCTGTTTGGTTACAAGTGATATGTTGGTCCTTGAAGTGGTAGACTGTTTGAAACGGAAAGCTGTGCAGGCTAAGGACATTCCAAGAAACGGAGCAGTACTGTTCACTAGGGATATGAATCTTCCTCTTAATGAGAATTTGAGCCCACAAAACCCCTTTTTCTCTTTGCAGCAAGCATTTTAAACATAAGATTCTTTTAGTGAGCAATCTTTTGGAAAATACCATGTGACTTTTCAGAGTTTCCTGGTCATTTTTCTCCCAGAAGAAACTCCCAAGTTGCACCAAATTATTTATGTGTTCATAAATTCATGACGAACTACATCCATAAAGATCAAACAATGAACCTTTTTCGCAAGATATGTTAAACATCTGGCAACACTGGAGGGTGCTGTACTAGTGGATCTCGATGAGCTAAAAGCATTTGGTCATGTGGTATGGCCTTACATTTTTTGAACTTCCTAAGAAAATGGGCTATGGAGACAACTAAAATCCTACATATTGCCCAGATTCATGTTTCCTTTTCAAACTATACCATTAAAACAAACAAACAAAAATAAGAAATGTAAAGTATGACCAATAATAACAAAAAAACTCATAGTGAAATACCAAACTGAGAATTGTATTTTGATGCAGTACAACTAAAACAAGTGATACATGTTTTTAGGAGAATTAGAGCTTCTTCTCAGAGAATGGGGAACACAAAAAACAAGACTCTTCACAGAACTTTTATTAATCTCTATAAAACAAACATTAACAAAATAACAAACCCTTTTTGCCAAGAGATGTTAAAGATCTGGTGAAACTGGAAAAAGATTTACAGCCCCAGAACCGTCACCCCTATACCCAGTGATAGATCATCCTGTATTTAATAACAAAGACGAAGAAGGACAGCTAAAATACAGCAAAATATTGCATCAGGTAGAATGAAAGTTCTATATCAACCAGGTAAACTCCTTATAATGGTAAATTTGAAGCAAATGATGGGAGGAATAAAAGTGATCTGGCTCCATGAACTGCAACTTTACTAGAATTACTGAAAAATAAAACTAGATATCAAAGGTCTAACAAAATATGACCAAATATGCATAACAAAGGAGCAACATGAAAGGTATTATTTCAGACATATATCAGACTCTGATGGTGGACCCTAATGGGTCTGCAGAGGGCTTTAAACAGCATGGGAAGCACACCTGCACATTATAGAAAATGTACATTGGGGGAAAAATGG